TCAATCCTAAAACATTCATTTAATATGCTGACAAACTAATTAAAACAAAACCATTCCCAGACACGAACAACCACATCCACCCACACATCACCCATATATATATATATATATATATATATATATATATATATATATATATATATATATATATAGGTGTATATATGTTTGTATGTATGTATATTTGGAAAAAATGTATGACAAAATGGAAAACTATTCCCATAAAATATATATCATTATCCCCACACACACAGATATATATATATATATATATATATATATATATATATATATATATAATATAACGACAAGAGGTAAAACTATTCGTACTGTGCGAGAATTTATTAAGGCAATGAATGGTTTGTTTTGTTGTACGCGTGTAAAGAGAGGATGTCAAAGGTTTTTAAATTAGCGAACATTCACCGGGTGGTTGAAAGTTTTGTCAGAAAATGTGAAGAACACAAAGAGACATATTTCAAAGTTCGTTAAACAGTAAGCGAGGAATATTCAATCATTTTGTTATTGTTGACTATGTTCACCATCATCTATGAATATAGCATACAGCGCAGTACGTAATCTGTTCAATGAAACAACGTTAATGATTAATACTCTCGAGTCAGATATTTTACTGAATCTGTCTATATCGCCAATACCACCAGCAGCTGTTCCGTAATTCTTCAGTCTTCGATATCAAAGGCTGGCTGTGATATTTATCCACCACCCCCCACGAGGGTTACATGTGGCACAAGGCCGGGATTAATGTGGGATATCCGATCCCGTAGGGTCGGCCAAAAATATTCCCTATCCGAACGCGTATAAACGAGTTCAGGGGCAGTCAACCTCCCCGAACGAGACTCTGCCCTTCGGCGGAGCCTCTTCGGGTTATCAAAGGCTGGCAGTGCATATTGAGCCTTCTGATTGGTTAATCCTTTCTATTGGTGAACTATAAAATGAGTCAGCTCATTTTGGCTGGCTCACTAGTACACCGGGTTACCCCAAAATTCCAACGAATATTGTTTAAATTGTGACTAGAATGTTATATTATGGGATGGACGTATATACCTTTTATTTATGTTCTTCCTTTTACACATAGACTCACTGAAGATAACCCAACTAGTTGATGGCTTAAAAAAATACTAAAAAATTGTACTGATGAGTACAGTTCAAATATTATGAAAAGATTTATCTATGTACAATATGTTTGATGTTGTTTTTTTATATATGCAAAAATGATCAGTGGAAAATGTCAGGAAACCATTTATGACATTAGGTTTCTGGTTGGCACCCGGATGGAAATGAGTATACAACAAAAATCAAAGGAAATAACAATAATTTTTTTCTAGACTACCCGGTGAACGGAGTTTGGTTTAAATGCAAGAGATTACACTAATGGGTATTGTCCACATCCTTGGAAAGTTTTATTAATGTGACAGTTTATGAACCTATACAACTTGAATTTACATGCACAACCGTATTTATTAAGAGAATCCTATATAGTATTAATTTCTTCATATTTTAAAGGTTCATCTGTGCATAATTCTAGTTTTACAGACTCAGACTTTTAATGTGTTTTAACTCTACTTACATTTTATATGTCCATTCACATACAAATGTTAATGAAAATTTACACGACGATACACAATACTTCGATGTCACACATTTTGATGAACTGGTGCTTAAAATGTTAGCTACACATCTAACCAGCTGTACCAAAAATCATGTTTTTTGACACGCTCTCTCTTGTGGTTGCTGTTTGATACTTGGAGGAAGCTCGGAAAACAAACAAACAGATACAAAATAATAATAATAATAATAATAATAATAATAATAATAATAATAATGGTGACGATGATAATGTTGATGATTGTGATGATTATGATGAAACTGAAAGAAACTGGTATGAACACCACCCAGACCCGGTTACGGAGATAGGACCTGTTACAATTCTATGGGATTACACAATACACACTGACAGAACAATCAAGGCCAATTATATTGTTATTAAAGACCACAAACAAAAACGGTGCCTCCTTATTTATATGGCAGTCCCTGCTGATTGCAATGTATCTTTGAAGATATTGAAAATGTTGTCAAAGTACAGGGACCATGAAATAGAAATCTCGAAAATGTGGCATATGGGAACATCAACAATCCCTGTTGTAGTTGGAGCCCTAAAAGTGGTTGGAAAAAGATTGCAGTAGACTAATTGAAGGATTCCTGGAAGTCCATGCCTCAAGGAGATACAAAAATTGTTCTGACAAGTACAGCCCACACCTTACGAAGGGCTTTATCTATGTAATTTTTTTTTTTTTTTTTTGTCAGTGGAAAGTGTCATGACGCCATTTCTAACCTTAGGTCCCCTAGGCGGGACCCGGAAAGAAATGTGTAAATGCCAGAAATCAAAGAAAATAAAAATAATAATAATAATGGTGACGATGATAATGTTGATGATTGTGATGATTATGATGATGACTAAAACAACAACATTTTGAATAAATGCAAATAAACATATATTTTGAATCCTGTTCACATCAGTTGGCTGTCACTGCGTCCCTACCACTTTCTTACCTAAAAAAAATGTTTTCCAAATTGTTCCATATTTGTTTAATCATATCTGTTTAATATTGGAAACCGTTGTTTTGCTGCGTTTTTCTAATATCAATTTATTGCACAAACGTGGCGAACTGAAACATATTTTGTAAGGATGCTTTTAAAAACTTTTCATTCCAATCAAGGCAATAAAGTCACTAAGAAGCAGGCGATTACTGAGTGTAAACTAATATAAGAAAAGAAAACATATTATTAAATTGCGAGAAATAAATAAAAGAACAGGATGTAAAAAGACAGAAGATAACTGTTGACATAGAATTTAAGTTTTTTAAGGTCAAATTTGACAAGAAACAGGAAAAGATTTGCACAAGTGAGAATTGTGAGAGAAAAAAAAAAATGTTAGCATAAAACATGGTCATATCTAGCCATTTCAACTGTAAAATGATGAGACCTAGCTGCCAATCTAGCACTGCACTTGAATTCAGAAAGTCTAAGTATCACAGAGGAAAGTTCATCAGAACAATTAAGTTTTTTTTATACAAAAAGGTACAGAAGAGCCACATCACGGCAGTGGAAAAGTAACAAATGTCGGTGTACCAGGTGAGGACCAATAACATTGCAGAAGTTTTGGATTTTATCAAGGATCTCTAAAAATATAGCAGGAACACTGGGATATATATGGTAGGCATAATCAATGCATGGAGTGACGAATATGTAAGATAGATTTGAGCGAAGAAAATTGTTTAATATCAAATCAAATTTTCTAGCAGTAGATCGAGCAACTGATTCAATATAATCATTCAAAACATGAGGACACATCGGCCAGTGAATAAAAGAGTTAGTTTGACCCAGTGACTTAATCCAAAGAGTTGTGAGTTCAATACCTGGCTACTGCAGAGGTGAACAAAAACTTGGGCAGTTGAGTTAATTGACATACTGGAAGAGGCGTAGCACTAGAACATTGAAATAGAACAATCTACCGAAATTCTAATTACTTGAAGAATGCCGTAGCGTACAACAGCCGAAAGGTCGTAAATATGGCAATAAAGATGAGGACAACAGTCCGAATAATGTTAATACTGTAAGTAATTACAATACATCATCTCAGAAATATAGACAGATATTGAATAGTAATAATAATAATAAAGAAAAAAAAAAAATCTACAAAAAATTAATTCATTCTTCACAGTAACGCTTTTCTCCATGGAGAATGAACAGCAACCCACGCCACATAGAAAGTGAGAATTTTGAGAAATGACTGAAAAAAAAAAAGAGTAGTGAGAAAGTGTGCATGTACATTCATGGTTGGATCGGAATAATAAGGAAAACCATTATGCAAATTAATCAAGAAATCCAGCGATTGCCTACCCAGAACGGCTGGGTGGAGGAAGCATAAAATGCGCGCTAAAATTAGCCTAACGAGTATAAATGCATATCGCCTGTTACATGTGATTGTTGATGGTAATTAGAGGAGCAAGCAAGCTCAGGACAACCGTCATTTTTACGCCACTGAAGGTTATTATTATCTGCATAATGGCATTTTTATTAACTATTAGCGCAGCGAAAACTCTAGAGTTGGCAATGCAAAGCGGGCAGTCGAACGGACGAATGCTTGGAACGGGAAAACGGGGAAGGAATCGAAGTTGGTGGACATGTTTATGGATGAGGCCAAGGGAAGCAATTCATTGTTCGATATTACATCAGACGCGCATAGAAAAAAAATACATTCCGCGTTTAGGATCAATAACGAATGTTTCCTGGGTTAGATCACGACTGAAGTAGTGTGGCTGTTTACAGGGTGATGCCAGAAAATGGTGTTTGAGGTCTAAAAGCAGATTTCCTTTTACTAAATATATACAAATTACAAGACCTAAGAGCCACTTAAAGGAGAGATATGCTTAATAAAGTTATTGCAGGAACATAAGAGGAAGTAAATAGATATTATAAGGATATATTATCTTTGTTTCTCACTTTGCATTCGTTAATAAAAAAAACCATCTCATATCTAGAAAGTGCATCCTAATGGGTTGAATCAAATACAATGTAAAACGAACAGGCTTAGAATTCACCCAACTTGTATCATTCAGGTGGTACAAATATGTAACTACTAAATTGTTTTGTTAATTATTTCACCAACAAGCAAGGGAATAAATCCAATACAACGGAAGTGTTTATTGATTGCGAGAGAATATGCGAAAAGGTTTTTATGCAGACTATCTATTCGTTGTTCATGTAATACATTTTCGAGGTTTCTGAACGCTTCGCCAGTGTATATCAAGGGATGCTTATATGCAGTATATCTTGTATATTCCTGACTGTCTTGTTCTTTCTTTCTTTCTTTCTTTCTTACTTTCTTTCTTTCTTTCTTTCTTTCTTTCTTTCTTTCCTCTTTTTCTTTTGTTCTTTTTTTCGTCTTCCGACATTTTCATTAAGCTTTCATTTTTCATTTTCACATGTTGTTCCCCATCAGAAATCCTCGTTTTTACTTCTTTCTTTCTTTTTCTTTCTTTCTTTCTTTCTTTCTTTCTTTCTTTCTTCTTCAGACGTCTTCATTATTCTTTCATTCTCCATTTTCACATGTTCATTGTCAACATTGTTCTCCATCAGAGATTCTCGTTCTTCCTTTCTTTCTTTCTTTCTTTCTTTCTTTCTTTCTTTCTTTCTTTTTCTTCCATTCTTTCTTAATTTCTTTCTTTCTTTCTTTCTGTCTTTCTTTCGTCTACAGGCGTCTTCAATATTCTTTCATTCTTGATTTACACATGTTCATTGTCATTGTTGTTCTCCATCAGAGATTCTCTTTTTTCTTTCTTTCTTTCTTTCTTTCTTTCTTTCTTTCTTTCTTTCTCCTACAGACGACTTCATTTTCACATGCTCATTGTTATTGTTGTTCTCCATCAGAGATCCTCGTTCTTTCTTTCTTTCTTTCTTTCTTTCTTTCTTTCTTTCTTTCTTTCTTTCATATAAAATTGCGTTTAATGAAACAGTTTGCGAAAGCATTTAATCACAATAATTTCTATATTTAAAAACGAAATTTCCAAGACATCGTAAGCTAAAATAAAAAAAAAGAAAAAAGGAATCTTCGTCGGGCCTCAAATTCGACAGATCACGAGAGACAATGAATTTGAAGCAATATTAAACGAAGTGGAATTGGAGGCCTGGAAATGTTTCAAAGGCGACTGTAATGGTTTTCTTGGAAATCACAAGGTGCCTATTTAAAAAGAAAATATCAGCTTAAAATATGATTGAAACATATAAAAATTTAGGATGAAATATGTCACTAAATGTGCATTATTTGTACTGACATCTGCCCTACTTTCAAAAAAACGCAGCAGTATTCAGAACACGGTGAAAGGTTCCACCAAAATATTTTCCAAATAGATAATCGTTATAAAGGCAAGTGGTGTTGTGCTATAGAGGTAGAAACATGTGCATATAGGTAGAATATGTTCTTTTAATAAATAAGCCTGTGTTTTCTGTATATATTAAATGAAATAATCCGTTTATATGAACATGTTTAATGCCTACACATATACTCATATGTCTAAATTTTATGATGTTTGGAAAAATTTAATTTGTAAGTTACAAAAAAGTCGAGTCATTTCGTGAAAAATGGAGTTCATTTATGTGACTTCATCAAAAAAGCACCCTAGAAAAAAGCATTCTTGTTTCTGTAGCAAAAACATTGTTGCACAATGTTAGTAGTCTATTCGTAATTGCTCCTGCTCATCTTCCTTATTGCCCTTCCTTTTATGCTGCACGCATCAGCTTTCTTCTTCTTCTTCTTCTTCTTCTTCTTCTTCTTCTTCTTCTTCTTCTTTCATATTGTCTACGCTTTTCTGGAGTTATCTTGGTTTGTTATTTAACGATTTTTAACTCTGCAAATCTCTTTTGTCCGACTTATTTTTCAACAATTCCTTATATTACTTTTCTCAGACAGTTATTTCATTTTCCCTTTATTTTCTCATTATACAAAACTGGTTTTTAGTTTTTATTTCTTTTACTTCCATATCCTGATCTGCTCCAGTTTTAGCGACTTTCTTTTTTTCGATTCTTCTCATTTTATTCATCCATCTCTTAAATGTTTTTCCTTTTTCCCTTCAACCTACATTTTATCGAAACTTGCTCCTATATTCCTCCACCTCTTCTTCCTCTCCTACTTTTAGTGATACATCTTTTTAGCGGTTCTTCTTCTTCCTCTTCTTCTTCTTCTTCTTAGCGGCTCTTTTTCTTCATATCAGTTCTTCCTCTTAGCATTTCTTCTTCTTCTTCTTCTTAGCGGCTCTTCTTCTTGATATCAGTTCTTTTTCTTAGCATTTCTTCTTCTTCTTCTTCTTCTTCATCTTCTTCTTCTTCTTCTTAGCGGCTCTTCTTCTTGATATCAGTTCTTCTTCTTAGCATTTCTTCTTCTTCTTAGCGGCTCTTTTTCTTCATGTCAGTTCTTCTTCTTAGCATTTCTTCTTCTTCTTCTTCTTCGCGGCTCTTCTTCTTTATATCAGTTCTTCTTCTTAGCATTTCTTCTTCTTCTTCTTCTTCTTAGCGGCTTTTCTTGTTCATGTCTGTTCTTCTTCATAGCCTTTCTTCTTCTTCGTCTTAGCGTCTCTTTTTCATATCAGTTCTTCTTCTTAGCATTTCTTCTTCTTCTTAGCGGCTCTTCTTCATGTCAGTTCTTCTTCTTAGTCTTTCTTCTTCTTCTTCTTCATCTTCTTCTACTACTACTACTACTTTTAGTGATCCATCTTTTTAGCGGTTCTTTTTCTTCTTCTTCTTCTTCTTAGCAGCTCTTTTCTTCATATCATTTCTTCCTTTTAGCCTTTCTCCTTCTTCTTCTTCCTAGTAGTTTATTTTTATTTCTACTTCTTATTTCTTCTTCTTCATAGCAGATATTCTTAGCAGTTCTTCTTTGCGGTTGTTTTTCTCCTTTTTCTTCTCAGCCGTTCTTCTTACCGGATCTTCTTCTTTTTCTTCTTGTTCTTGTCCTTCTTGTTCTTCTTCCTGTTCTTCTTCTTCTTAGCGGCTATTCTTCATATCATTTCTTCTTCTTGGCCTTTCTTCTTCTTCTTCTTCTTCACGGTTATTTTTCATTTCCACTTAGTCTTTCTTCTTCTTCATAGCGATTCGTCTTTGCGGTTGTACTTCTCCTTTTTCTTCTCAGCATTTCTTCTCCTCAATGGTTTTTCTCCTTAGTAGTTCTTCTTCTTCTTCTTCTTCTTCTTCTTCTTCTTCTTCTTCTTCCTCTTCTTCTTCTTCTTCTTCTTCTTCTTCTCCGTTCTACTAAGTGCAGTCTTTTTTTCCCCCATATTTCGACCCTTTACTATTCTTAGTCAAGTTCTTTCTCTTTACTATCGAAAGTTTTTCGCTCGTTGCTTTGAGCAAGTTTAATCAAATATCCATAGATCAAAGTATACATTTAATAAAACTTCTCTTTTTTTTCTCCTTCGGGTTTTCTTCTGCAATGTATACTATTATTTGAAGGCGAATGTCAGCTGAGACGTCGTGTCGATCGAAGTAAAATGTCCAAAACAAAGTCCGAACAGCTCTCTTATATCAAAAACTGTTGGACAGTTTTGTCTCCTCGAAATAAATGCGCAGTGATTTCTTTGACAAGAAAGCTTAGAGAAACCATGCCGTAATGAAAATCGTTTGATATAACAATTGAATTATGTAAGAGTTTTCAAGAAGACAAAAGGATCTATTTTGTAAAGTTCCGAAATATAGATCTATCTATCTATCTATCTATCTATCTATCTATCTATCTATCTATCTGTTAACATATCTATCTATCGATCAATCGAAATATTTGAAGTTACTAACAATATATAACAATTGAATTATGTAAGAGTTTTCAAGAAGACAAAAGGATCTATTTTGTAAAGTTCCGAAATATAGATCTATCTATCTATCTATCTATCTATCTATCTATCTATCTATCTATCTATCTATCTGTTAACATATCTATCTATCGATCAATCGAAATATTTGAAGTTACTAACAATATATAACAATTGAATTATGTAAGAGTTTTCAAGAAGACAAAAGGATCTATTTTGTAAAGTTCCGAAATATAGATCTATCTATCTATCTATCTATCTATCTATCTATCTGTTAACATATCTATCTATCGATCAATCGAAATATTTGAAGTTACTAACAATATATAACAATTGAATTATGTAAGAGTTTTCAAGAAGACAAAAGGATCTATTTTGTAAAGTTCCGAAATATAGATCTATCTATCTACCTATCTATCTATATATCTATCTATCTATCTGTTAACATATCTATCTATCGATCAATCGAAATATTTGAAGTTACTAACAATATATAACAATTGAATTATGTAAGAGTTTTCAAGAAGACAAAAGGATCTATTTTGTAAAGTTCCGAAATATAGATCTATCTATCTATCTATCTATCTATCTATCTATCTATCTATCTATCTATCTATCTATCTGTTAACATATCTATCTATCGATCAATCGAAATATTTGAAGTTACTAACAATATATAACAATTGAATTATGTAAGAGTTTTCAAGAAGACAAAAGGATCTATTTTGTAAAGTTCCGAAATATAGATCTATCTATCTATCTATCTATCTATCTATCTATCTATCTATCTATCTATCTGTTAACATATCTATCTATCGATCAATCGAAATATTTGAAGTTACTAACAATATATAACAATTGAATTATGTAAGAGTTTTCAAGAAGACAAAAAGGATCTATTTTGTAAAGTTCCGAAATATAGATCTATCTATCTATCTATCTATCTATCTATCTATCTATCTATCTATCTATCTGTTAACATATCTATCTATCGATCAATCGAAATATTTGAAGTTACTAACAATATATAACAATTGAATTATGTAAGAGTTTTCAAGAAGACAAAAGGATCTATTTTGTAAAGTTCCGAAATATAGATCTATCTATCTATCTATCTATCTATCTATCTATCTATCTATCTGTTAACATATCTATCTATCGATCAATCGAAATATTTGAAGTTACTAACAATATATAACAATTGAATTATGTAAGAGTTTTCAAGAAGACAAAGGATCTATTTTGTAAAGTTCGAAATATAGATCTATCTATCTATCTATCTATCTATCTATCTATCTATCTATCTATCTATCTATCTATCTATCTGTTAACATATCTATCTATCGATCAATCGAAATATTTGAAGTTACTAACAATATATAACAATTGAATTATGTAAGATTTTTCAAGAAGACAACAGGATCTATTTTGTAAAGTTCCGAAATATAGATCCATCTATCTATCTATCTATCTATCTATCTATCTATCTATCTATCTATCTATCTATCTATCTATCTATCTGTTAACATATCTATCTATCGATCAATCGAAATATTTGAAGTTACTAACAATATATAACAATTGAATTATGTAAGAGTTTTCAAGAAGATAAAAGGATCTATTTTGTAAAGTTCCGAAATATAGATCTATCTATCTATCTATCTATCTATCTATCTATCTATCTATCTATCTATCTATCTGTCTGTTAACATATCTATCTATCGATCAATCGAAATATTTGAAGTTACTAACAATATATAACAATTGAATTATGTAAGAGTTTTCAAGAAGACAAAAGGATCTATTTTGTAAAGTTCGAAATATAGATCTATCTATCTATCTATCTATCTATCTATCTATCTATCTATCTATCTATCTATCTATCTATCTGTTAACATATCTATCTATCGATCAATCGAAATATTTGAAGTTACTAACAATATATAACAATTGAATTATGTAAGAGTTTTCAAGAAGACAAAAGGATCTATTTTGTAAAGTTCCGAAATATAGATCTATCTATCTATCTATCTATCTATCTATCTATCTATCTATCTATCTGTTAACATATCTATCTATCGATCAATCGAAATATTTGAAGTTACTAACAATATATAACAATTGAATTATGTAAGAGTTTTCAAGAAGACAAAAGGATCTATTTTGTAAAGTTCCGAAATATAGATCTATCTATCTATCTATCTATCTATCTATCTATCTGTTAATCTATCTGTTATCTATCGATCAATCGAAATATTTGAAGTTACTAACAATATATAACAATTGAATTATGTAAGAGTTTTCAAGAAGACAAAAGGATCTATTTTGTAAAGTTCCGAAATATAGATCTATCTATCTATCTATCTATCTATCTATCTATCTATCTATCTATCTATCTGTTAAAATATCTATCTATCGATCAATCGAAATATTTGAAGTTACTAACAATATATAACAAATTGAATTATGTAAGAGTTTTCAAGAAGACAAAAGGATCTATTTTGTAAAGTTCCGAAATATAGATCTATCTATCTATCTATCTATCTATCTATCTATCTATCTATCTATCTATCTATCTATCTATCTGTTAACATATCTATCTATCGATCAATCGAAATATTTGAAGTTACTAACAATATATAACAATTGAATTATGTAAGAGTTTTCAAAGAAGACAAAAGGATCTATTTTGTAAAGTTCCGAAATATAGATCTATCTATCTATCTATCTATCTATCTATCTATCTATCTATCTATCTATCTGTTAACATATCTATCTATCGATCAATCGAAATATTTGAAGTTACTAACAATATATAACAATTGAATTATGTAAGAGTTTTCAAGAAGACAAAAGGATCTATTTTGTAAAGTTCCGAAATATAGATCTATCTATCTATCTATCTATCTATCTATCTATCTATCTATCTATCTGTTAACATATCTATCTATCGATCAATCGAAATATTTGAAGTTACTAACAATATATAACAATTGAATTATGTAAGAGTTTTCAAGAAGACAAAAGGATCTATTTTGTAAAGTTCCGAAATATAGATCTATCTATCTATCTATCTATCTATCTATCTATCTATCTATCTATCTGTTAACATATCTATCTATCGATCAATCGAAATATTTGAAGTTACTAACAATATATAACAATTGAATTATGTAAGAGTTTTCAAGAAGACAAAAGGATCTATTTTGTAAAGTTCCGAAATATAGATCCATCTATCTATCTATCTATCTAGCTATCTATCTGTTAAAATATCTATCTATCGATCGATCGAAATATTTGAAGTTTGTAACTGACGATATATATCACTCCATAACAATATCATCTCTTTCCCTCAGTCGACATACTTTGTGTCTTTCTCGTATTGTCAGTCTGTCTGTTTGTCTGTCTGTCTCCCTCTCTCTATATATGAGTGTGTAAATCATTTAGAAGATGAACCAACAAGGCCAATATGTATAATTTTTATTGTATTTTTTGAATATGTTGTATATGCAAATAAAAATAAAAAAAAAATACTATAAATTTCATTTTCTTTGTTATGTTTATTTTCGAGTTCTTTCGACCACATTAATTATTATGTAGAATTGAATGTTGCTAGTATGATATTGCTGGGTACATCTTGTCTTTTGAGGATTACGCTACATTTCAAATTTAAATATAAGCGTATTTTATAATTGACATCATGTGTAGAGTGATTGGTAAGAGCATAATTGCATAGAAAACTAATGTATCTAATATTTTCTGCGTTTCATTTTATTATTATTATTATTATTGTAAAATTTTTCTTTTTCTTGCATTTGATATATTATCACATGCAAGGTCATAACCAATGACCAAAGTCAAGCGAAGGATGAGATTTTTATTGTTTCCACTTAATTAAAGAAAAGACAGATATCAACAAATTAAGACTTAAATGGACAACGCTCTTAGCAAGATATGGACTGTGCTTGTTACAATTATTTCGTGCATTTCCTAATAAGTTTCAACACCAAGGATTTTGCTAATTTGTTCTTGAATTCCTTTCTCTATTAGTCCCAAAGCTCGAAAAAAGTTTGGATTTTAATGGACATTTTTTATTCGATTTCCAGGACTTTTTATTTCCTTAAT